ATTCTTATTAATGCTTATGTCCGATGATGATGATAGATGCATCATTATGAAGTCTAATATAGAATATATTATGGTGTGATGCCTGCCTTTAATTTGTGAGAATGTGTCTAAAATGAAAAATTTCGATTCCTATCTGAAAGCACCGCCGTTTCACGAAAAGCTTAAGTTGACGCTTAAGCATGATTCATCAAAAGTGATCGTAACAATCATCAAGCTTTAATCACTGATCGAACTCAAGCCTGCACACGCTTGAACAAAGCAGAATGGGTGATTTTTTTTGTGTTGCTGGCACGATATTCACTCAAATCATCCATCCAATTACAGGTTCTCGCCTCAATGAGGCATTGTGATGTGATCGCGTTGAGGTGGTGTGTACCAAAGCATTTACCTGGTATCACGTATCGAACGCTGATGCGATGGGAAATGCAAAAAAGGCTACCGAAAGAAATTGATTTTGAAGGAATGAGTACAGACTTTACCACATTCGGACTAATCAATCTCATCAAGGTTTGCTTTTTTCGTGTAAAGTTCTACATCGTCATTTTGTTCTACTTATTACACTTTTCATTTCCGAATCAATTCATTTACCTCTTCGTACCGAATTCACGTGTTCCTATTCAAACGTCTTTAAATGCCTGCAAAAAATCTCTCCAACATGCTTAACTCTTATTTCTTTGATGTGAATTCGATTTCACCTATCATGCTTTCAATCGAAAATTCTCATTCACAACTCGTATCGTACCTGCAATCGAATAAACACCTTTCGTGTTGCAGGCATTCGAACGTGAGCATCATCAATGGCTATCGTCACCGAACGAAACCACCGAACCGCCACCGGTCGAGTGGAATCTGGGTGAAGCGCTTCGAACCGACGATCCAGTCAAAGGATTGCGGTCGCTTCGTCGAGTTCAACTACGACATTCGACGGTGATCGCACAACCGGGTCGAGAAGAATACGAAGTGATCCCATCGTGGGCATCACAAATCGCTGACAATAGTTTTGTAGCGATTCAATTCATGACACGACGTTCGAATTCGTGTATGATGTCCACTGGAAATGTTATTGAAAATCATTCGAGGCGAATATCTAGCCTATAGCTAAACCCAAAAATATCAAAAAAAATGTGTGTAAACGTGGCTAAAGGGCGACGGTTATGTACGAATCAGCCGTACTACTTCACTGAAAAAAGTATGCAGCCTCCATAGTGATCGAAATCAAACAGGAAGTTGATTGAAGTGCTTCTTGTTAGCTATCGACATGATGTTTCGTGCGAAACGAATCGTAATCTTTAAAAGTATTCAATTAATTCAACATTCCATTTTCATATGTACTACTGCTCAACTTCAACAACGTTCCATTGATATTTCGTACTGTTTCACCAAGAATTCATTCTATTTGTTTTTGTATGAAGTAAAAATTGCTAACAGATTGAAATTACTAATGTATTTTTTCCGCATATTTACTGCCGTATACTTTTGACTTTCA